TCTCTCTCTCTCTCTCTTTCTCTCTCTCTCTCTCTCTCTCCCTCTCTCTCTTTCTCTCTCTCTCCCTCTCTCCCTCACTCCCCCTCTCTCTTTCTCTCTCTCTCTCTTTCTCTCTCTCTCTCTCATTTGTAGCACTGTGTATTCAGTAACCTCACTGCGGGTGGTTGGCAGGTGCTCTGTTGTGGTTTGCTCCTTCTTTCCTATCAAACATCTGTCGTCCTTATCTCCCCTCCTTCTATTTTGTGTTTGTTACTCTCTTGAAACACCTCTAATCTTCGGCACTTATATCATGACCTTATTGTGTTGCAAGTGCCGTAAAACACTTACTAAAACCAAACTAACCTCACTGCAGTTGGTACAAATGATTTCTATATATCTGTCTGCTCTTGCTTCCTGGCCCTGTCCCGCAGTGTGTGAGCCTGCACCAGGTGGAGGAGCTCTATTCCCTCCCAGCGTCTGAGGCCCTGAGCTCGACCGACGTGTCGGCTGTCTCCCCGGCTCTGCTCTTTTCCCTCTTGTCCTGCGACAAGTCGGCCGCTGCTGGCACCAGGAACGGGTCGGGTGCTGCTCCCGATGAGGATGAATCTGGGCTGGTTAAACCTACTTCAGAGGCCTGTGAGTGAGATGATTCAGATACTAGCTGCTATGGAAGTCAGTGTAAAGTCCTGGACAGTTCCCAGTACAATAGACCCACCTCTTCGTGGTCGGGGGGATTAGTACTCTTCGAATAGGAAAAGAAAAAGAGGAAGCTAACGGGTCAAGGGGTCACCCCGAAAAGAGACATATTACTTGACTATGTATCTTAGTCTTTCTATTTATTTTTTGTGTGTTTGTTTGTTTTTGTTTTTTGTTTTTAATTAGCTGCTATTGAAATCAGGGGAAAGTCCTGGACAGTTCCCAGTTCTGATAAGTTCTTAAAGATATAGAGGCCATAGGGTCAATTCAATTGATTTGTAAGTGCTCTACAATTTGACCGTAAATGAAATTGGCTTTTGATAGAAAGCCTAGAGTTCAAGCTCGTTTCGCTACTTTTTTCCCCCATGATGTACTTGTGTTAGCTTTTTTAGAATGACTGTTTTCCATAATTTTACGTCTCATTTCTTTTTTTCTTTAAATCCTTGTTGTGAATATAATAATGAAATAAGTGATCAGCCACGAGGAGAGGTTGAGAAGTGAGCAGGCTCACAAGTTGATCCTCTGGCTTGTACTATGCTGACTTTTTCATGATAAACTTTCAGCAAATTCAAATAATTAGGAGGGTACCAGCATCAATACTGGCCTCATTGGTGTAATGATTAGGAGCTTGGCTGTTGACAGTTGTTCTAAATAGTGAAATTGATGGGTGCATAAAATGCCAACTGTTGCAAGTTTTTCCATCTGTTATACATTGTTGATGTCTCTGTCATTTTTATAGAATATGTTCTCCATCATTGATCTCAATAAGATTCTTGGTTTTCAGCGTGGGGCTACAGCTTCCTGTTTGTGACACTGATCAACCTGTGCTCTCTGACGGGTGCCCTGGTCTTCCCCTGCATGAAGCTCCACAGCTACAAGATCATTCTCATGTTCATGGTGGCTCTGGCCGTGGGCACACTGGCAGGCAGCGGGCTGCTCTTCCTTATACCAGAGGTGATCCTTGTCATATCCATGTCGCTTTGTCACAGGGTACTACACGGATGTGGGTAGCTAGTGGGGACTCCTGTGTGGTTTGCTACTTCTTTCCAATCTAGCTTATATCGTCCTTATCTCTACTTTTTTAAAGTTTATTTGTCTTGTAACACCTCTAATCTTCATCACTTATATGTCCTAATTGTGTTGCAAGTGTTGTAAACCTCGTACTTAAATATGAAAACGGATAATACAGTATTCCTTTCCCTTATCATGGTTCACATGTCACTTACCTAGTAAACTGTTTTCTCTCTTAGAAAGTAGGAAGCCCAGGGGAGCTCTATTGACACATCATTAGCCCTTGACATGACCAATCACTGTGCACCGTTGTGCTATAAATGTTAAATTTGTTAAATACATTTGGTCTCTCATACTCTAAGTGTAGAAAGTGTTTGTAAGAGTATGGGACGGGTTTATTAGAAATTGCAATGCAGGGAAGATTTATAGAGGCTTGAAGCATGTAATAATTGTATTATTTCTACGTCACCAATTTTCCCATATGGTGGGAGTTTTTAAAAGGTAAACCTGTGATATTGGAGGGAATACTGTATATTTGTTTTCTTAGCCTCTTAAAAACACACAACTCCTTTGAAAGAATAATCGTGTTGTGACTGCTTTTGTTGTTGTAAGCCAGGGGGTGATTAGAAGGCACTACTTTTTTGGAAATGCGCTATATAAATGTTATATATTATTATTATTATTATTATTATTATTATTATTATTACTTGTAGGTCCTACTTCTTTACTTCCCCTCTGTTGTTTCTCTGTCTGTCTGACTTACCTTTTCCCAGCACTAAGTGACCATTATTGGGTCGTTGTGCTTCTATTCACTCAAGCGAACCAATTTTGTAAGCCAACAGTCTTTGCACTATTGTCCTTTAGCCAAATGCCATGTCGTGTGCCGTCTAGATTGTCAAGGCAATGGCTGCAAAGGTGACATTATTTATTTATCTTTCAATGTGATATTTGTATCGATCTGCATTACAAACAAGATATCTTTTCACCCCTTTTCCTTTGTTTTCTCTCTCTTCTCTCTCTCTCTCTCTCTCTCTCTCTCTCTCTCTCTCTCTCTCTCTCTCT